GCCTCTTTCTTTGCATAACTAACATGTAATAATTTGGTCTAGACTCTTTTATTCTAAGCCACAGCCAGACAGGAAGGAAAAACAAAACTTCTCCAGGAAAGGGCCTTCTGTGCAACCCCATTTTCTGTGGTGTCTTTAAAGGGGCCATAAGCAGGTCTTGAACCAGCACATGCTCTGTAAATGTCTCAAATGAGCCTCACAAAGTTAGAAGGTTCATTTAAATTGCAATCCCATCCTTGGGTTTGGGATAGTTATTTACTGTTTCATACAACAGGCTTCTCAAGATCCCTGAAGAACAGGTGCTGGAAAGTGTGTCCATGGTTTGCTCTAGACGGGCTGATGTATCCCATTTCTAATGATGGTGAAATTATTAGCAGAAGAGGTTTTTTTGCAGTACTTCCTTTCCTATTGGGAATGTAGAAACACACAGGCAGATTGTACAAATACGGAAAAACTAGTTTTTGTCAGTCTGAACCTGCTGGTTTAGTTTTAATGATTCCTAGGCTAGAAGGTGAGAAGGATCAGGTGAAATAGGTTTTCTTCTCTGCTTTAGCATTTGCTCTTTGTTGCACAGTTTCCCCTCTGTGCCGCCTTTAACTGTCAGGTGAAATGGGGGGAAGGTAAACCATGACATGACAGTAGAATGTTTTTAAAATTTTCTGGGCAGCCTTGGTAGGAGTTGTCCTGGCAGGTCTGTTCCCTTCTTCTCAGATCTGCTACCTAAAACACAAGTTGCAGGTGGATAGCATGGGGTAGGAAATGACAGACAGAAATAGCTCTCAGTGTTAGTTAAGTGCCCAGGCATCGTGGTATGCAGTAAGGGGAGTTAGAAGGGTGCCCTCAGAACAACTCTGGTATAGCTGCAGGAAGGGCAGGGAGAGCGGATGGGCTCACCGGGGCATGCAGCAGTGCTGGTGCTGATCATAGAGTGTGCTATGTACAGTTTTATCATGCTGTCCGAATCAAACGCCCAGCTAAAATTTGTGTTCTAAATTACGCTGACAACTACTTGCAGTGTTGTAATTTCAGATGTTTTCAATTTGTTGATTCCTAAAAATTTGCTACCAGAAGAGTATAGGTTGGGGCTTCCAGGTTTATGGCACATCTTTTAAGCTTCTGCATTCCCACAGTGATGAGAAACTTACCCTAGGGCAGATGCCACAGAGCAGAGGGAGCAAATGAGCTGCTGCTAAAAGACTGTGACTTATTAAGGACTAAATGGCAGCTACCTCATACCACTTTCTCCTGAAGCATCCCCATCACTCCTTTCCTATTTGCTACCCTTCTACCTTCCCCTTCACCTTCTCCTGTACTGGCTTGCCATAACTTTTGAACTAGCATCTTCTGTAGCAAACCCCAATAATCTGGGTTAAGTAATCAATTAATTTTCAATTTAAAATATAAGGTTTAGCTTTCCAAAAATCCATGTGGTGCATTTTTCCATAGGGGAGAGAGAAGGAAGTATTTGTATTTACTGAATTAACATGCCTTACTTGTCACATCATGTACCAATATTTGGCAAAACAGCAGCTCTGATGCATTAATATTTGTACACAGGTACTCAGTTCCTTCTCCCTTTTCTTCTTCCCATGTGGAGTCTTGAGCAGTCTGTTAAAATAGGTGATCAGCTGATGAAAACCTCCAGTGTAAAGCAAAGCACAAATGGTAGTCAGAAGGCATGTAAAAAACCAATCAAGGAATATCCCAGCTGGTCACTGGGGGTTAGGGATTGAATGTTGTAGTAACAGTTTCTGGGAAAGGTGATTGTCATTGTAAACCCTTAACTTTCTAGTTCCTTAATTATAAGTAAGCAGTGAAAAGAATACAGCTGCAGCTCTGTAAAGTCATTGCCCAGGAAGTATACTTTTTTGTGCAAAAAGCCAGTATGCCCAAAGGGGTAGGTAGTTGTCCTGTCTGCCTCTGTTGAAGTTATGAATACTTACACAGGTTGAGGGTTTGTCCACTCTGCTCTCTGATGTCTTTCCCTTGTGCTAAAGATCTGACCACAGCACATCTCTTCAGTCCCTTTGGAAACTGTGCGAGTGGTGTGCGACAGAAGAGAAATGGTTGACTTGTTTCAAAAATTGCTGCTCCCTGGTCTGCCATGTGTATTTGGAGGGTCCTTTCTGGTGAAGTGGTGCACAGATGTTACAGAAGCAGTCTTCATATCACAGGCTGCAATCTAGCAGAGGATGAGCAGGAAGGGAAGCAGTCACTGTGAGCCCTCTGCTCCCTACCTCACTTGGAGAAGAAATGGTGGGTAGCCAGGGAGGACATCGGTGCAACCACAGCCCCAGATCTTCAAACATACCTTGGAGCCTAACTTCCTGTTTTTCTAAGCGAGATGTTTCCTAAAGATGTTGGAGAAACCGACGCTATGGTTCTTACTTGCCTCCAACACAACAGCAGCACTCTAGTTCTTCATTTTGCACTTTCCTTTTGTGTGTGTGTGTGAAATGGAGGTTTAATCATATTTTCCATTCTTTCTAAAGCATTTTGAGAGCCTCAGGGAAAAGTGCTAGGGAGGAGCAGTGCCATCACAGATAAGGTTCCAGATTATACACAGCTAGAGATGACAAAAATAGCACACAGCTGGGACCACAGCAAGGACTGGGGTGAGGAATGGTCAGGAAAAGACAGGGAAATCCTTGGGGTTTAATGGCTGACTAGGAAGGCATGCTGAGAGCACTGATCACCCATGGTAATTAACTCCCAAGAAGTGCACAAGGATCATTATAGATCTTGCAAGGTATAACAAACAAGATGTAATTATTAAGTATGATGATTCACTCTTAAAAATGATTATTAATCGTGCTATGAAATGTGATGAGGATGAGCAGATATAAAATATTAATTTCTATATGATGGTTAATTAATATATCCTCAGGTTGTGATAGTCCTAATTAAAAAAAAAATAAATTATATTCACTTCAGCAAGATTAATTCCAGGATAAGATACTACTGAGTATGAGCAAAGGCATTAAAATTCTGCCTGCCAAAAGCATGTTAGTTAGTTCTGGTCCTGAATGAATTTGGTTAGTGGAAGCTGATGATATTCATCTGAGAGAGCTTACTTTTATAGGTGACCTGGTTTTGTAGGCTGCTGGTAGTCTGATGATGCTGAAGGGAACAGAAGGGTTTCTGTTGTCTATAACGTGAGGGACTGGGGCCTTGAGATTAGTGATTCAAAATTAGTGAACACCAATTTATATATTGCCATACTCCAGAAACGTCTTATCTCAATATTTCTTTCTACCTGTAAAGCTCTTCTTACCAAGTTTGTAGCAACAACTATTTATTTCTAGTGCAGCTGATAACAAGAACTTCAGTCAGGAAGCATCACTCCATATGATGGAGGCTTAGTAGCCTGCCTTGGCTCTGTTCTGTAGTGTGATGCATATAGTCACCCTTCTCTTCCCTGCCTGAGCAGTAGCACTGCTTCAAA